AACTTCAACATGAATAATTTATACTTTATAATAAACTTAACTATAATATTAGTCTTAAAATGCACTTATTCTTAGATTTAGTTTAATAGATTTTTAAAAAACACGTATAAAGTTTTCAGACAAATTTAAATTTTTTAAATTTAAAATAAATTTTTTTAAACTGTAATTCTTGTAGTTTGCTTTTTAGTTCTTCTTCAAGAATTTATCGGAAAAATATGAAATTGATATTTTTTATCATGCTTTATCTTAAAAGTTTTCTAACTACTTTTGTAATTATCACCAATTACAGATAAAAGCGTTCGCATGTTTCGTTTCGACGTTTAAAACGTCGTTATAATTGTTTTCTTGATAAGACTTACAGTAAAGATGTCTCGTTTTCATAAAGTATTTTTTTTAACGGCTCAATATTTGAATAGTTTATTTAAAATATTTATTTAAAGTTGTTTAATATTAAATTCTCTTAATTCTTCAGTTGCATTACGCAATTATAAATCATCCAACATAATACAGGACTAATTGCATATATGTATATGTTAATATTAATGTCTATCCTTAACAAAATGTTGAAAAACGTAATATGAATAAATCGGACAATTATGTAACACATGAAAGTGAAGCGACACCTATGTAATATTTTTTAAAAGATCACTGAAGAGGGCTTGATGTAAAACCGAAATGATCGTCTGGTAGCATTAATGTAATTTTTTATATGAATATAACGCGAATTAGCATAAAGACCTTGCTTGACTTCTGGCTCATTACAATTATTTATTTTAAATTTTAATTTTCGGAGCCTGAATGTTAGGATGGAACTTATTTTTGACTTTTGAATTTTTTTCACGACGCCCCCTAAAGTTGTTCCATTTGGTGAAAAAAATTGTGTAAAAGTTGAGCTCGATCGGACAACGGGAAGACGTGACACATCTAACTTGAAGTTTTTAAATTAATTCTCGGGACGCTTTGTAAATATCAAGTTTGTTTTTTGCAAATATTAAATGGCAATATTTCCGTAATGTGCTTCAGAGAAAGAGAGAAAAAGAGAAAAACAAGATCGGAAGAGCACACGTCTGAACTC